TCTTCAAACACGTGCACTGGGATGATGTATTCAACAGAAGATTGGAACCACCTATGAAACCAATACTAGTAAGTTTTTAAATAATTACATTGCAAAAATACAAAGGTCAATGTTTGTATTTTCACATTAATTGTAAGTTCGCTCTTCAAATAGACTTACAATTTTTGTTTATTTAATAGGAATGTTTTGATTCTCACAGTAGTATTGTTACTACCAATTTACAAGATTTTCCATCTCAAAACCTTTTTCTTAATATTTTCATGCCTTATAGGTCAAGGGTATAATGGTGGTCAAGGGTTTCATAACTGAAGCCTTGTGATTGCATGTTTTAATTTTATCAATCATGATTTCTCTAAAAATATCTTTTTGATATTTTGCTGTATTCTACAATATGATAAAAAAAATTGTGAGCAGTAGTTCATTACACACTATACCAGGAAAATAATAACTAGTAGTAGTTAATTAACGGCGCAATACTGTCTCAATAAATTATGATTATATAACAAAACAATTGTTACATAAATTCTTAAAGCGATAAAACCGATAGTTATTTCATATGTAATAACCAAATGTCCGCTAATATGTATTCAAAGCATCACATGGTGTCAGAATGCATGTTCTTCTAAATTCAAGGTCACTAGGTGCTATTATTTGGTACCTTACATGAATATAATGTTTCCTAAAGTACCAATTATAGTGTCTAAGTATCCTTTTTGTCTATGTTGTAAATAAATTAATTTATTTTCAGTCAAGTGAAGATGATGTTTCACAATTTGATACAAGATTCACTCTACAAACACCAATTGATTCACCAGACGAGTCTACACTTAGTGAAAGTGCTAACCTAATGTTCCAGGTATTATTATAATATTCTGTGATAATGTTAATTTTGTTTGTTATTTTACTATCTTTCGCCGATGACTCCGTTCGCGTGGAATTAAATAAAATGTGAGTAGGCTATCCTCTACATCTATACCAATTTTCATTGAAATCCGTTAAGACTACAAACTCTAACAAACATCCATCCACTCATCCATCTAAAGTTTCGCATTTATAATGTATATAGTTTGCTAAATTTTTAAAGGGTTCGATTGTTGACAGTCTTCAATTTGTTTTCCTGCATGATGTACGTTTAGGGGTTCACATACGTCGCTCCGTCCGTGATGGACGAGGTGCACAAGCCGCGCGTGGTGACGGCGCGCTCCCCGCGGCGGCCGCGCTCGCACCACGCGCCCTTCGCCGCGCCCGGCGCGCACTCCGCCGCACACGCGCTGCCAGAGGACCTCATGGATGTACAAGGTCTACCTATATAGTGAGTAGCCGCTCGCCCGACGCCATAGCAATAATATCGGAATGTATTTATTATGTGTAAAGACTTCACAAGTCTCATTTCAATTGGAAAATATCAAGTGTAACAAGACGATTTATGCTCCTATTTTCATTTCATGTTGATTGTCATTTTCCAGGAGCAGAATTAGTCAATATTATTATTTTACTTGATTATAGTTTAAGTTATATTAAGTTGATTAATTTTTGTTAATTACATCTGTGTTAAGTCTGAAATCAACTTGTTTTGTTTTTAACTAATGTTGTATGTTATCGAAAAATAATGCAAAGTTTAAAAAAACATAAATATAAAAGCTATAAGGATATTGTTATAATATGATAACCAGAAAGTTGTGAACATAAAGGGAAACAAGAACAATGCATTACCTGACATAATACAAAATCAATAATACTTGTGGCGGACAAAATAATCCTTGCATAAATAACTAGCTCTTAGTTGAATCAGTGCTCAAACAGTGCCTTCAAATATACAACTTTATAACTAATAATTTTAAGTATAAGAACAGTAAGAATACTAATTTTTACCAACCCATGTACTTATATTTTTAATGTTTATTATCCGAAGTGTGTCTGTACAAGGAAAAATAATAATCTTTTGTTACACTTGGTATAATATAAATGATTAACAAATTAATATTAGGATAAATTAAGTTTGTTTAGAATATATAATGGATTGATGTATTGTGTTACTTGAACATTTAATGAGATTATGATAAAAAGGTTGTTGAATGTAATTAACAAAGAATATAAGTACGAATGTTTTATTTTCAGGCCTAGGATAATTCACATAGTTGACCATTTTATACAAATGATGAATACTACTACAAAAAGCTGCCCATCTTAATTATGTCCGTAAAATAATGGTACTGTTTTATACTACTATTGTTAATGTACATTTTATACGAGTTACCGTTTAGTTTAATATTTTGGTAGGGTTTTAACACGTATAATAAAACGTTCTAACTCCGATTATACTACAGAGTAATAATTAAAAATATACCTTGTTACCACGCTTCATGAATTGAATTAAAGGTCATTTTTATTTTGTATATTTGTGTTTGATTTCTAAACATTTATGAGGCAACTTAACTAAGATACATAAAATCAATGTCAAAATGGGAACATTTGATTGGCATATGTAGCATTTGACGATGAATATACAAACTGTTGTTTGCATTTACTCAGAGGTTTATAGCTATTTACAATTCAAATTCAATAATATGCATTTCACTACAATAGTGAAGCATGTCAAAAGCATTTGTAGGTTAACAACATACTTAAAAATAAAGGTTTTCATTAACTCAAATAGCATTTTACTTTGCAAGATGTTTAAAAATATACCTTATTTTTAGGAAATCAAATTTTACTTTATGAACACCTCAAATTACTTATTAATTTCTTACATATTACTAATAAATAGTGCTAAAATGGATCAAAAATCTTCCCAAATCTTAAAACTGGTGCAAAACAGCTCAGTCGATTTATGATTAAAATACAAAGGTTATATGAATATGTAAAGGTACATTCTTAAAACTATTCTGAAAATGTGTTTAATAAGTTATTTAGATACTAGCTGTCGCCCGCGACTTAGTCTGCGCGGGATTTAAAAAAAACTTAATTGGTAGCCTATATTTTCTTCCAGACTATGCCTGTCTGTGCCAAATTTCAGCAAGCTCCATTAATTTGATCTGAAGATGTATTAGTATAAACATGTAAACATTCCAAACTTTCACATTTATATTAGTAAGTAATTTTATATGAAAGTGGTTTACCCTCAGAAATAATATCATTATGAAAATAATTATAGAATATTTAAAAAATCATAAATCAATATAAAGTTAGTTAATAATATTTGAAATTATAGATATGAACAGCTTCAGAAGTTTAGGTGTAATTCTATGGAAGAAGGAGTGAGCAGAAAATCAACAAATTAACATTATATGCCCATAACTGTCGAAAACATACTGAAACCTAAAGTAACATCACAGAATTTTATATAACCAAATTAATGCACATTATAATTACAATATCAGCTGTATATCCATGCACTGTGCACATATTAAATAAATATGTGTGTCATTTAATTCCGGTACTGATGTGAATTCAGCTGTTTCATTGCAGTTTTTGGAATGTTTATCGATAGAATCGAAAATTACTTTTTTTATTTCAGGTAATGTACTTTGTGTTTTAATATGTACATTACAATTAGGACAAGATACTATTCCGTCTTCATATTTGAAATTCTTCTTCTGGCAAACCGGGCATGTGACATGTTCTTGTTCTAACACTGACCAATCAACATTATCCATTTGTGTTTTTTCATATTCTTCCTGCCACCTAGGAAAGAAAAAAAAATCATTAGTTGAACAGAAATCTATCTATACTTATATACTAATGTAATTAAGTTTAAACACACACTTTGTTATGTAGAATGTCTGTAATCACAGCATATTTTTGAATAAACCTATTTTAATAACATTTACAAGTCTTTAGCCTATACATTAGTATGCCTTGATTAGAAAAGATTATGACTATCTTAAGGGACAAAAACTACAATGATTTTCCAGGAAAATTATAAAAGAAAAATGTACAAACCATTGTATTTCTTCTTCTATAAGTTCTTTTTTTATCTCATTAAATACTTCACTTTCTTCATCTGATTCTTCAAATTTAGGATACACGAACATGCTTTTATAAATAGCCATCAGAGTGTCCCGAAGTTCAGTTTCATCTAAAGTCCCTCGGAATTTGTCCAGAAGCATATTACGGCAATTATGCACCTTTTCTTTGTAATCCTGTAAATGGTTCATTATATTACACATATTTGTTTCATTACTTTATTTCCATAAAGTACTTAACTAATAATAGTATTTTTTACTTACTACCCCTAAATCACATTATATTATCATATTATATATTTATTTCTTAATGGTAACTAGCATTATCCGATTATATTTCGAATTTTATATGATAAAATTAGATAAAACCTACTTGCACTTGTAGCTAATTTTTTTTCGGGTATTACAGAAAATAATTTAACAAAATGCATTAATATATTAAAACATGTAAGTGTATTGCATGCACATCCGTACATACCTTTTTAAGTTTTTCTTTAATCGCTATCGGGGACTGCTTTTGTTTAGTCTTTAAGTTTTTGAATGATGGTGAATTGGCTTTTGGTGAATTCATGACTGAAGAGACTGAACTTTAAATACGAAATGACAATTTTTTTACTAAAATTACAACCCCAATTAACGATATAAGATTAGGCGGGATTAATTATTTTTATTTTTTTTAATTCTCTTGACGGTTGTTTGACATAATGGCGATAGTGACACTTAACACTTGCAATTGCCTGTTAAAAATTTACTACTTCCTCAAAAATAAATTACAGAAAGATATTTCAATAAAATTAAGAGATCTTAATTAACATCGAATAAAAAGTTAGTAGTTTCGTATAAAATCATTAATCCAAATTAAATAATGACATAATAAGTTTATCCGTCTTGTTATGTAACATAATAGCTAAAATTATGGCGGTTTATAAGCTCACGTTATAGCAATACTGAGAAAAAAATGTCAGATACAGACACACAGACAGATGGAAAAAACAATGTGAGTGATAAGTGAAAATATGGATAAGTCCAAAAGTTGAGTTTCGTGAAAAACCTTATTTCAGATTTTAACAGTTTATTAAAAGGAAAAAATACCCATATATTTGGAAAATGACACACATAGAAAAACACCAAACCCGAACGGGAAAGGAAACCATTCATTCAGGGCATTTTATGGTGTCACATTTTGAAGCAGAAGAGCAGGATGATTTTGATGATTTGGCTGTTCCTGTGCCTGACGAGGAACAAACTGTTCAGAAAAATACTGTGGTTGCAATGTACACAGTACCTGGCACATCCGAAACATACACATTGTCTGATAAGGAAGAAAGTAAACAACATCAACAACTTTCTATAGAAATATCTCTTACAAAGTTATTTAGATGTATGTCTCTGGCATACAGGTAAGTTTCATTTATTTACAAATTATTAGACTATTGATTTCAGAGACATAGCTTTTTGGTTTTTTCCATTAATGTATTCTTGTGAAGTCCTGTCTGTTGAAATAAATCAGAGTTTTGCATAAAATAGCTTCGTAACGGAGACTATTTTAGAGGTCAAATAGGTTGCGTATTAACAAAAACAAAAAAAAAATTAGCATAATTTTTTCTTATATTATTTCAAATAAGTAATGTGACATAAAACATAGTATGACAACATTTTGCAAATAACAGTTTGAAAGCCTTTAGCATGTGTAAATGAGGAAACATATGTTTCTAGTTGGATTGGAGTACAAAGATAACATAGGTCATCGGAGCCTGTATAAAAGACACGGGTCATTTTCTGAGATAAGTCTGTCTATGAATGCTTAGTTATAAATATTGTTTTGTTAAATATTTTCCAAAACATTAAGTTTTGCTGATTTGTTTAATATTTTGTTCAATTTATTGGGTAAAATATTTTATAGGTAGGCCTAATTCTCTTTGTAAGAATTTGTGGTAGTTTTTGTAAAGACAATGTAAATTTCATCATTTGATACTTTATTTTAACATATGATCTATAATTTGTTATAGGTACACTAAATCAGTAAAAATAGCCTACCTTAAATTTTCCCTTTCAATTGGAATGTTTATAAACATTATTAAATGATAATATATCTATCTTCTATATCATTAGGTTTAATGTAAATAAAGGTTCAAGAAGTTAATTAACCGTAAATAAAAGAAAAAAATATGTGTTATGGATTCTCTGTATTTATGTGTGAAGTATGCATTATAAAGTAAAAATTCTCTTTTATTACGAAGTATCAAGTACTATAACTATTACTATTAATTCCATTGATTTTATTTAGACATGTAATAAATTATTTTATTAAACAGCAAAATATAGAGTTTATAGTCTCTAAACATTTTTGTTAAACAAATTTCTTTATTACTTTTCAAATGGTAAAGGTTAAACAATAATACTAATTATTGTTGTCAAATTTTTGTGACATATATTAATGTAAGAACAAGAGAAACTTGTGTTTTTACACAGTTATATCAAACATGTACAAATATTGCTTAAACTACTCTAGTAGAAATGAAGATAAGATACAGTCAAGCTCCTTTCTTATCAAATTGTTATTTATAATAAGCTTAAGATCATTTATTGATAGTGGTATAGATAAAGTCACTACACAAGATTGTCTGCCATTTTACATTTCAGTCGTACAGTTCTATATTGAAGCTGTACTTTATATAAAAACAATATTATTATAAAATTTCAACAATGTCCTGTTTAATTTTTTACAAATCAAAAATGATTCTTATGAACTCGAGAACTTTTATAGTAAATTTAATTGTGACGGTGCTCGGTTTGAAGATTAATTTGTGATGTTAACTAGACTAATTAGAGTAAGCATGGTAAGTTTGTAATGTTAATTTTTTATTTGTTATACTTCAGACAAAAACTAACCTCACCAAAATGGAATCGTTTCAAAGGTATAAAACTCCGCTGGAAGGACAAGATCAGGTTAAACAATGTTATATGGAGATGCTGGCACATGCAATGTAAGTTAGTTTATTGTTTTATGTGTTCATCTACTGTTTTTAAAATATCAATGTTTTAAATCTAAATGTTACCGTAGTTTCTTATTTGCAAATGCTTATTTGTTATATAATATGTAAATATTTGAACATTAATTTGTGATATGTTATGTATGATTTTTTAAAACTTTTAACTTTACGGAAATTTGAGTGTAGTAATCATTTGCTTAGTAGCATACTCCTGTATAAACAATATTATTGTTGGTTTCCGCTGCAGAAAAATTTACTCTTGTCTCTGTTTTCTTAAACTAAATGAAAGGGATACATGGTTCAGAGTTGGTTTACAAAGATACAACTGATAACAATTTTTATCAGTCATTTCTATGCAAATTAAGAAAGTCTATGTGTCATAAAAAAATTGAGACAATTTAAAACTTAAAATACAGCAAATATTTCTAATCATGTTGATTACATCTAATTTTAAATGGGTGTTTACATTTTTAAGCAGATTTTTTTTTTTTAAGCTAATTGTAATGAGATTTTCATAGACTTTTCGATACATTCTTATCTATATAATTCTAATACTGATGTCTGTTGATTTAGTAGACGCTAGTTGCGCGCTTATGGTCGTCTACCGATGTTGATAAAGCTATTGATCGGTGATAACAAAAACTAATTGTTTTACGGATTATGAGCCTTATCCCATGTACATGATGAAAAGTACTTATTATCTATGGTTTCTATGGTTGATTCAAGTTTTTTGTAAAGCACTGTTATAAGGGCCTGTCCCACCTCTGGCTGATAGAGGCACAGATAGTTTAAAACGACGTCACTGTCAGATAAGGAAAAAAAAACGACATTTTCGTCACTTATTTAACATGTTGGATGGTTATAAAATAATTGTCAATTTGGTGGGACAGGCCCTAAGTGTATTTAAAACAAGATCGATCGGCACCCTCGAATCAGAAAGCTAAGCGCTTATTCTATAGTATTGTAATGTTTCATCCGCCGAAACAACCAAGGCGGCACGTAAAAGAGTAGCAAAACAAAAGATAATTTAACCACCTCATCTGTTTCGTTAAGTTTTTTTTATTAGATGGTACGTTTGATTCATAATGGTTAACATGTGTTATCACGTTTTCTGGACTTCAAAATATTCGTGGCAAATTTAATTCTGCGCTAGGTATAAAATAATTAAACAAAGTTTTAATTAAAATAACACGTAATATTAAAATGAGCGGAGATAAAAAAGTTACCTAATTAATATAAATCTCAAATCTGATCTTGACCCAATTTGACTTTGTGATCTATTTGAACTTCGTCGCAATTCGATATACAAATTTCGTGCAATTTGTTTAAATGTAGACGATAAATTAGTTTTGACCAATTTATTAATTAACGATTATATAGGTTGTTCAATTGTTTCCGATATCAATTGTCTATCCGTATAAACAATTTAATACAATGTAATTATGAACATAGTTATACTTCGATGCTGGGATTGACGTCTGAAAACGAAAACTCTTTGTTGAAATGGTTGAGTACGATCGGATCCATCTCTTGTATGACAAACAACAATATGTCGTGGAATGCCATAAATTTTCATTGCGTCAATTTTTGATTGATAATAATCGGCCTTCGCATGTTGATTATTTTATTTCGAAAGCCACGAATGTGGATGAATTTTATAACCGTTACATGTCCATTTTAAATTTAAGTTCGTAGTATCAGAATCCGACAATATAAAATTATACCCCAACCAGTGGTCTTAACTTTTTGTTTATGTAGATTTTACAAACTTTTTGTTATTAATTAAATAAAGTTTACCTTGATTTTTATAAACTTCAAGAGATAGAGATGCGTTTAAAAAAAATAGACCTAACCTAACCTCAGTTACGTTTATTGCAGTTATAAAGAAACAAGATACATTTGTGTGTCAGTTCGCCTCTCCTTTAGACGTTGACACACACGTCAAACCAGAGGTAAAGTATATAGCGTCCGAAATAAACTATTACGATATGGTCTGTACGTGGATAAAATTATAATGTTTGTTTCAGACAACTATATTAGAGGGTAAATATTGGAAAAGAAGAGCAGAAGCGGTTATAGCAGAATATAAAAAATGGCGCATGTTTCATATTATGCGACTCCTTGGCAAAGGGGACACCTCAGTCCAGGACACGGTACGAATTGCCTTTATTCTAGACATCTTTAGCACTAGGAGAACAAAATAAGAGGTTTTAGAGTAGATGAAGATTTGAAGAACATAGGTTGTTTGTTAGGTAAGAAGGCGGTATGTTCGCAGATGTCGGACATGGACACGGTGGAGTCGTTCTCGCAGTGCAGCGACCTGGCGGCCAACATGCTCACCGACGAGGACTACCTCAACTTCATGAGTGACACGCTCTTCTCCACCATCACGAACCACCAACCGTTCGCCTTCCCTGACTGCAGGGAGATCGGTACCTTCATCAATATTCAATTACATCTATTTAAAAATATACACAATACAAAGTCGAAGCAATCCGGCGATCTCGATAAGAAATGGAATAATTTATATTACTTTTGTCACAGCCAGAGGAGCTGGTCTAGCAGATTTCATTCAACCAAGCTTGGGTCCTTTGCAGCCTAATCTTGATGATTTTATGGACACACTAGAGCCTCTCCAAGGTAAGTATGCTTTCTATACACCTGTTATTTGACAAATATATGCGGTGTCATGGATATTGTTTTATTACCTCGGTTCTAAGCGACAAAAGTTACAATTTACTTAAATTTGCAGACCTTCTATCGATGCCACGTCTTCCTCCCGTGCCCGAAGAGACCACCATTCCATCGGAGGACGCGTTGTACAGGACTGGAATGTCGGTAGATTCATATAATCCACAAGGTTATATTGCAGGCAGTCAGAATACTTCTGCAGTCACAATGCCCACCAGTCAGATGAGCATTCATGGTATTTGCATATCATCACTCTTCTGCAAGTTGGTATAACACGAGGGGGCCCTAAACTTGTTCTTTTTTGAAGGTACGAGTAACAATACTCAGTCGATGTCGATGCCAGAACAAGTCAAAGGCGAGGAGATGCGAATGTATGATAATAGCCG